CTTCGTTAAATTGAATTTCTTTGAAGCGCTTCGAGAAGAATGTAACCTCTGGAAGCCATCGAGCCAGTCAGACTGTTCCGGTCATGCTCTTCGGTTTCGTAAGTTTCCTCAGTATTCTTTGCCTTTTCAGTCGTGCGATCGCATCAGCTCGGTTTTTTATGAGGTCTTAGTCCTAATTTGACTGTGTATCAGTTACAGACAAGTAGGAAGTGTAGAATACTAAGGAAGCTTGTAAGAGAATGAAACATTTTTTATGGGAGCTACAAACAGTATACTTTTTCATTATAGAGCATGTTTCCGCACTACCATCTGATACCATGAAGGGGAGGTTGTCGATGTCGTCTTCTCGATCTGCTGACTTCCTTGATTCGCCACATCCAAATGCCGCATCAGCAGTTTCTCCTGGGCGATGTTCTGTGAGTCTTACTCTTCATTTTCCACCACGCTCTTTTCATTTCTTCTGTATCCTTGTTCTAGCATTAGGCACTTACATTCGTCTAAATGAATCTAACGTAACTTAAGGTATGGACAATTGTTATAAATATACTTTACTCACTTGTTTGTTGTATCTACAGTCTGTTGTGTATACACCTCCCATCCAATGGAAGGTTTCACTCGTAATTAGCTCCTTGCTTGTAGCGTTTACCTACGTTGATACGTCGACCTGGATTGAGCCTGCTGTCTGGCGGTGTGTCACGTTACTCCAACTCTTCGTAAGTCATGTTAATTGAAACGACTTTCTATGATAGTCATTCAGTTTGCGTTAGCAAATTATTTTAAAGACTTGTGCAATATTTTATAGTATAGCGCGTGATAATACTGATTAAACGAGCTTACTGTTATTACATTTAGCACTAGAGGCACTCAAACTGGTTTGTGTTTTTTGACTTCACTGCTACGTTACTTTCGCAATTATGATCTGTGGTTACGCTAATCTTTTTGCTATTCTTTGCTTGGTCTTGCTTACTACTGAGGAACAGGAAATCAAGATTGCAAATTTGAGATGATGAGAGATTTCCAGCACTTTACAACAAACTTTTTATAATTTTTTTCGCTATTTTCTGCGCTATAGCATGCTGATAGTTCGTGCTGAAAGTGACTCCTGCTTACTTTTTTGTGGCAAGGCTACTATTAGAAAATCGGCATTTTTTTTAAATTTATTCTTATCTTACGGAGCAGTTCTGCGCCTTCTGCTGAACATTATCTTCCTTTTTTCCTTGACTGCCTCAATAGTATATCAGTACGCGTTTACTTACAGACAAGAAGTTTCAAATTTTTATTACCACACTTTAGATCGCTACAACAGCATTTCGGTGATGCAGCGGGAGCGCTTTCAGGACGTCGTTCCGCGGACGCGCAGTCAGAGTGTGGGCGCCTTAGCCTTCAAAAGAAACAGTGGCCAGACGGTTGCTTTTGATACAAAAACACACAGCTCCAACCAGTCGCAGTTTTTAGGTAAAATAGAAAGCATCGTGAACGATGAAGAAATCTTTTAGGGGATGTTACATCTCTTGAAACAATTCTGGCATGTCATATAAAGTTCGCTTTGTTTTACCTCATTTTTTTTATTGAGTTAACATTGAAAAATGAAACAAAGCGAACCGGAGTCGTCTTCGTTGCTTAAATAAGCTTTTCGCTGTGAAATTTCTATTTATTTCTACGCTTGCATTGGCTCACTCGATTAAAGTTGGTAATTTGTTTTGGTTACAAAAAATTTTGTTGAAAATTCGCGTTAGGCCTTGAATGTGCTCTGGTAGGACAATTTTCTTAATGTTTGTCGGGTCATTGAACAAAGCTTTAGGGACTAAGTTGTTACGCCCGGTTTACTTCAAAGCTTATTTCGTTGCTGTTACAAAGTCGTTTTCACGAAACTGCTTATCGCATTATTATGTATATATGGATGTTTATACTTATATTCCTTTATATGGTACTTAGCTTTCTACTGGTGAAGATCTGCATCTCTTAGAATTCTCAAGAAGGTTATTTATTTATCATCGAAGAACTTCTTGATTTCTTGGTGCTATTGGTGGTTCTGACTTATTACGCCCCGTTAGTAATGATTAAAGTTTATGAAACTTTTACTATGCACTTTTAAAGATTGTTTTGATTTTAAGAAGTCGTATTTTTAGTGTTTTTTTCGTAATCTTTTATATTAGTTAATTTTAGCGTACAAAAGTTTTGCAATTTTGTCTATGCTTTATGAGGCATATTTACATTTTTGCCTTGTATATAGCTTTGAAGCAGAGTATGTAATTGAGTTCCTGTATTGGCTTCTTTCGTATTATTTTTGCCTTGCCCATTAACTGTATTCTTGTGACATTTTTGAGTTTTGCCCAGATTTATTGCTGTTTTAACTTGTAAAAAAGTAATGAAGTTTTAAACGTTCATGTATGATAAAGGCGGAGCTGACTAGGGATAGTGGTAACTCAAACCGTAGGCTTACCCAAAAATCATTCAGTTGCATTCCTTTAAACTGAGCATGGTAGAATTACGTTTGTATGTTAACGAAATATAGATCGTAGCTAAATTTAGTTTTTCGGAGTCTCTTACCAACTTCCTAAACTTGCTGGCTAGGCCTATTAACCCTCAATGCTATAAAACATGAAACAATGACTGAAAAAAGTATGATATATCACACTGCATGATTCTAACATAACTTTAGCTTAGAAGAAAATTTTTGCTGATGAGAAAAAACTGACATTTCTACTCTGGCAGCTCAGAAAAGGAAAAAAAAAACAACCTTTCAAATGTTGAATCGTGCAAAGTTAAACGGAGTTGCTCTTCAAAAAAAAGGTGATCCCCCTCGTAATCCGGAATTTCTACATCACCGTTTCTAATAGTGCGAAAAGTAACTGCTGTAAATCTCACTACTCGTCGACAAAAAATTATGGCCGTGCATCGTCGTGTCCGTCAGTGAGTAAATATTCTTTAAGTATTCGACATCTTTGCCTTCTCACAGCATATACTGGAACTCCCTTACTAATGATGCCAGAGGCCTTAATAAATCATTTACCAGAACAATGAAATAAGTCTATATTGTAGGAGATAGCCGCAAAGGCAGTGACTGTAAGAGTATCAGCAGTTCTATTATGGGAGAAGAAATGGGCTAAAAGCAAAATAACACAATATTAATACCTTTTGGCTTTCTTAAAATATTTTTGAGGGAACTATTTGACTAACCTCAAGAAAGAATAAGATAAAGACCTATAAGGTGCATTCAGTTGCAATTTGGGACTGTTTAGGAAAAGGCTGAAGTATAGTAGTTGTCTACTTGAATGATTTCAATAAAAGCAGCGGTTCCGGATGTCCCCGAAAGTGTCGTTATTACATTAATATTATCGCTTGCCAGAAGATGTGACATCTGACTTGGGAAAATTACGAAAAGTCTGGCGACTGGAACGAATATCACTTCGTCCGCTTCTATAAGTGTGGAATCTTCTGGCATATTTCAAAATACAACAGTACCCATCGCATGGCAGAACCTATGTAAATTGTTATAAAATGTAAACAAAGTAACAGGCAAAAATAAAGCTAAACGTCCCGTTGTCAAAATAAAGTTTCAGAACAAAAAAAATTTAAAACATTGAGGTGACCATGTCATAAATAAATCAGCAGCTTTAAAGACATATAAAAAATGAATAAATACTTAAGCAAATAAGGAGTTTCGGCTTTATTACATTAAATCGTCCCCACTTTCAAACCAACCTGCCTTTTTTCTGACCGTCAATCTAACTTTTTTCATATACATATACATGGTTTTCGGCGCCGCTTATATAGCTGTGGCAGTTCCAGATTTGTACATTCAGCCTACCAGCTGTCTAACGCTAAAATGTCGCTTTATTCTTTCCGCCATTTCGTCAGATCGTTTTTAGGCCATGTATACAAGCTAAAAAATAAAAATGAAAGCAGGATACTGGGAAAAGAAGCCTATAATAGAAAGCAGTTGTCCGGCTTCTTCTACTTTTTGTCGTGGTGACATCTACCAGCAGAAACTGATGCCTTATAATAAATGAATCTGAATTTTAGTAGAGACTATTAAGTTTTGCTCAGCATCAATAAGGTGGTTCATGATAACCTTCATCTTAACCTTTACCCCATTCTTGTTGTTATAACTTTACGGTGATCAAAAAAAAGTGGACCTAAATTCAAGACACCAGGAACTGCATCAAAGTTAAGAGTATTCTACGTTTTATTGTCTTTCGCAAATTACTCGGGGTTCACCATCCACCGTCAATTTCATATTTCGCCTTTCTTTTCGATTATTTTTTGGCTCGACTGCATACAGTGAACTTTTCTCTCCAATTTTCACTCCTACAACACATCCCCTAAGCTCGCCATTTAGACTCCATTGTAAGGAACATTCCCAATCGATCTTCGTTCGGCAAAGTTCAATCCAGAAGAACAGTAGTGAGGCCAGACCAATTCTGCATAGTGGAACCCTGCCAAAAACAAAGTTGTAGAGGAATAAAACGAACCTATTTTTGTGATTGTCATTTCCCGCAAAATTTTTTCTCTGAGTTGCCATGACTAATTTAAATTTTTGACTTTAACTACGACTCATCTTCGGTTCTTGCCGGTTTTTGCTTCTTAATCTGTCAGATTGGTAGCGGCGCACTGAATGTGACGGCGCAGAGCTTCCTGGTCTCTAGCTGCCCAAGTTGCTTTTGCAAATAACTTACATATATTTGTAGTTGTCGATGCATTATAATCTTCAGTTCTTCACTCATCTACGTTGTAGTATCTGTATCATAAGCCTTGTTGCTTATTTCCATTCTAGCTGTTTAGTTTCACCATTTCTGGGAATTGTGAGCGTTGGCCAAACTGATAGTGAGATAAGGGGTTTGCAGTCAGAGGACTGAAACTCCAGGTGCGAGAATCCAGCGTAGTAGTGGGAATCACTTTGAGAGTTCCTCCGCTGGGCATGCAATCCTCTACGCAAGCTTATGATTTGACGAAAAACTGACAGTGTTGTTTAGGGAGAGTTGGGTTTTGGAAGAACAATGCCGAGAAGCACGTCTATGAAATGGGCTATGGTTTGTTCTATCGATGATCATTCGTTGCTGAAACAGCTGGAGTAAGTATTTTTTTACTGTTTTTGATTACGTGTACAGCTGTTATAGTTCTTAATTGTGCATTTTCCTCTGTGACAAATGCGGAATTTTTTCTGTTTCTAGATAGGAATGAGTTTTAATGGTTTAGAGAGTTTGGCATATGGCTGTGTGAGGCACTTACTGTTGAGGGATTTAAAAGTGGTTTCACTCACCAATTCGATCATAAACCAGAAACTGTTTTACATGTAGAGCCATCAAATTATGATGCTTTTGTAGCTGCGTATGAAGAGGTTGCTGAGAGTAAGTTTTACAGCAATTTCAGACATCAGGCTTACTGTTTACGGCAGGAAATGAATGTTTCAATTTTTTGATCTTTATTTATCATTTTTTCTACTCACAGTGTCAATTTATTTGCAGAGCATCCAGGCGTAATGTTGATTTTTCAAATTTTACCTTCTCAGAACTCAGTGGTTTACGAATGGATGAAGCAGTTATCTGGTCACATTGGCAAAATTAGACAAGGAATTGTTTTAGAAAATGCTCTTTCAAAGTTTGCAAATCACGATTTACATGAAGTGCTCACAAACATACTTCATTGGATCTCTCGTAGTATAGCTAGCATAATCTCACAGGCAGAGTAGGATCTTGTTCTTTTTTGTAATATTTAATTTCTGTTTGTCTAAGAATTGAATCCAGCAGTATTGATTTTTTTCTTAAACGTTTTTTGTGGTTATCTGTACTGCTTTACTGCAGTGGTTATCGACACTGTAATTTGCGTGTGGGGCCATCAAAAGAGACAGTCATGGCACCGGGGCAAATTTTAAGGATGAATGGAGTCGAGAATGCTGTGCAGGCCGTGATACATTCTTGCGAGTTCGGTAAGTTGCTGCCCAGGGTTTGTAACTGGTAAATTTTTGTATACCAGTTAATATTCTTTAAAAAAGTTTTATTCGAAATCTAGTCTGTTTATTTAGTTAACAGAAGTTTAAAACTTTTTAGTTGATCGAGAGTGGCCAACTGCTTCAATAAGAATCACTGGGTTTCCAACAACTTTCAACCAGTATCAACTGGCTGCAATATTCCATAATTTCAACGTAGTTTCTGTTCATTTCGAGGATGATTTTGGTGTTGTTTGTTTTGCTAACAAGTTTCACGCTGTGCAAGCTGTCGAACTATTCAATAATTTGCAGCTTGATTCTGAGCATATTCTTAAGGTAACTGCCATTTCCGAACAGCTTAAGGGGCAAGTTGCGTTGACTAGTGGAGTTACTATAGAGCCTTTACAAAGTGTTGCTTCAAACTGAAGAGAGTCTTTAACGCGGTACAGATTTGGCTGAAAGTGTATTTTGCTCTGTGGTTATTTTCTTTTGAAGTTTACTCTTTTGTTGTTAGATTCAGTTACTGAACGGTGCAGTCACAGAAGCTGTTTTTTATTTCTTGTAGTTTTGCGTTACATGTTGTTATGATCTCATATGTAAAACTGCCAGGTTTTTATGTTTCTTATTTGTTGTGATCGTTTTTTTTTCGTTTTATATTTGTCTTTATGGTTGCTATGTTTTAGAAATGTTGCCTAGACCGTGGGTCCTAGTGTTTTTTCTGATTGTCGTGGTGACAAAAATAATCGGCTTTGCCTTACGCAGAAAAAGATACTGTCATAGGTACGAGTGGTCCATTTTTTGGGTTCTTTCGTTGTGAGTATTATTCAAACTGCACATTGTTGAAGCTTCTTGTTTGTCTGGTTTAAGAATTCCAGAAATCGGCATTACGTTGGCCTGTTAATAGTGTAATGACAGGTTTCCGTGCAACTCACAAAGAGTCAGAGAAGTAACTGGTTGAAGGCTGAAGGGATTGCTGTCTTACAGGACCTCTTACTTCCTAGTAAAGGTTCATAACGACAATCCGGAATTTGATGCTAGGAGCGTTTTTGGGGTTCTCGTGCGTCAAGTGGCATATGAATGCTTTCTTACTATTGTTGGGTAGTATGTAAGGTCGCATTTGATTAGTTATGGTTTTGTTCTTCCGCAGCGAAGTGGATGGGACTCGTTTTTGGTATTTGTATTTTGAGGACTCCGTCAGGGTCAGGAGAGTACCATTTGCGTAAGGGCTTGCGTGGACGGATTTTGAAGGTGGTTTTTGTTTTCTAGGGCTTGTAGGACGTGGAATCTACCGGCTGTAACCTAGCGAAGTGTCTCGCAAAAGAGCAGGTGGGGGTGGTTTTTTATTTGGAGTTCCAAACACCATCTCTACAGTTTTTGCGCTTTTGGAAGGTGGTGCTTCAATGAAGTTGCACAGTGTTGTTTGAGATCTGAAGTCACATGGCATAAGCTGTTAGAGGGCATGATGTTTCGAGGTTTAGGGATTTAATGCTTGGTAATGAAAGTTTGGTCTTGGTCTTAGGCGGTCATACAACTGAAGTGGTGCTGAGCAGGAAGCTACTGCACGCCATTTTTTTATGATTAGTGTATTTAGTGAGGGTGTGTTCGAGTTTGGCTTTTTTCTTGTTTTCTCTGGGACAGTTGGTTAGTTCTTACGTTTTTTATATCTTTTAATGGCCAAGTGTGACTGGGTTAGTCAAATGTTCAGTTTTAGGTAATTATATCAAATTTCGAGGAACATGGGCATGGTAAAAAAGCTTTACCGTCGGGCAGAGGTATTGTACGGTAAATGTGAGGATGCTCCTACGGTTGTTGAAGCTGTACAGTTTCATGGAATCAAGAGGACTAAAAACGATGCATTAGTCAAAGAAATTGCATATTTATACAAATGTGCTGATTTTGGAAGCCTGCTGCATAATGCAAATCTTGCTGCAAAACATCTGATGGTATTCAATTATTTGCAAGCTTCTCAGTGTTACTTTTGATATCTGAGGCGTCTTTATGATGAGATTTTCTCCGTGGTTTACTCGAATACTGCGGGATTGTTGTAGCATTTGTTTGTACTTTCTTCTGGTTTCTGGAACGCTTCAAAAGCTTAATACATTTTTATATGTGACTTATACCAACTTCTTGTCGGCATCCGTCACAAACATTGTTTTATGCTGGATTTTTCTTAGGAAATCGGTTTAATGGAACATGCTACAGCACTGATAGATGTATGCAAGGGGAATCCGCATAGTTACGTTGTGAATTTCGTTGTTAGAGAGCCAAGATCGTTTACCATTGGAGCTAAAGTCAGTATAAATGTTCCATATCCAAATTGTTTCTCTCTCTTCCCAATTGGTATTGACATATTGCTGTTTTGGTATTTGACTAGCTAGTGTCTTTACATTGTTTAAGGCCGGCGTGTCAACATACGGGGAAGCAGACGGCATACTCAATGTTACAAAAAGAAGTGTTTTTGGACGTGGTGAAAACTGCAACACTTCATACACATACACCGTAAAGGCACGTCTTAAAAACTTTTACCGCTATTCTAAACTTAAATTTTTTGCTTTGAACAGAAACCACGGTTTTTTAGTTTCATTAAGAAAA